CTCAACTCCACAATGTACCGGTTGTTCTTCGGCACCCAATGAAATGGCGAGATTGTGCCGCCAAGTCGACAACCCAGAGCTCAAAACAGACCCGTGTGTAACACTGGACAGCGGAATAAATAAATTCTGGGAACTGGCTGTATTAGGCCAACTGGCCGTAAAGAACCGGCTGTACCTGACTCATGCGGGACTACACACCTGACTATATAAATTCTGGGAACTGGCCGTATTGGCGATGGATGGATGAATCCGGCTGAGCCCTTTGGATCGGGCGTTAGCTTACGCCACCTAGCCATTTTGTTTGACCATTTAAGCTTAGAATGTTTAAATGTGAAAACTATATTCACTCCGCGATGAAAAGAAAGTGAGGCTATAAAACCCCGTTGCCATCAGTTAATATCCCAGCGAGACCGACGCCGCTTAGTGTCAACGCCGAGAAGCTCAGGAGAGGAGGTCGTTTCGACTCTGTTGTCTGCTATCGCTGTTGGTTCTCATAGGCAGCATAGAAACAAGCATCGTTTCCAGTCATTATTTTTATTCTTCCGCCATTGAGCATTTCTACTCACTAACTATAGTCGGTGACAGGTCCAGAACGAAGTGGGAGCTCCTCCCAGCCCCTTCCATTTTAGCAGAACGAATGCTGGAGAGGAAGTCGCCTCCTCTCCAGCGTTCGTTCTGCTAAAGTGGAAAGAGGCGGGTGGAGCTTCCACTTCGTTCTTGACCTGTCACCGACTATAAAAGGTTTCTACCGTCGAAAATCTCGTTGCTTTCATATGTAACAGCGACTTTACACTGCAGTGCAAGAAATGTATGGTGGTCTATGTGTTGAACGACGAAAACAGCCTCCTTTCGTCCGCCATTTTGCCTGACCAGAGCCGGCTGTACCAGGCCCGTGTAGCGTAACACACCTGAATAAGTAAATTCTGGGAGGCAACGGAGGCGAACAGACCGGTCTCACCAGCTAGTTTGAGTACGCCACCGCTGCCGCCATGCATCGTGGGAGATGTAGTCTTTCTGCACGCGCGACAACCCCGCTGGAGATCTGCGCGAGCAGAGCACGAGGCGGCATGAGCTATCTCGTGAACTGGCGTCTGCTTTCTATGAATTGCAGTTATGGAGGCGTCACGCATGCGTGGAACGCTTGCTGAGATCTTCAGTTTCACGTGATGGATGGCGCATTTTATGATACACCGCGCAGGAGACGCTGCGAGTCATTCCAAGCAATCCAGCGTTGTAAACTTATCACGTGACTAGCGCCCTGCGCGTTGCTGTTTTTTTCCCGAAGGTCACGTGCCGCTCACGCGGCAGAGGATTGGCTCGGAACGTCAGCTGCGGTCCATTGTAACCTTATCTAGGAGGAGTCTGGAGTTCGGAGGCGGAGTCATGCGGTTTAGAGAAGCTCGTTTTAGCGAACGCCGTTTTACCGACCCCAGTTTAGCAAATCCCTTTGTAGAGAACCCAGTTTAGAGAAAATGGCGATGAGCTTCCTTTTAGCGAATTCGGCCGCCGTGAAGTGGCGTGTACGGGTAAATCAGGTGAGTTAACAATTTTGTAATGGGCCGCCGTAGACTGCCGCCGCGAAGCGGCGGGAGCGCAGCAGGGGGCTTGGGTTAACACGCGCACCAGTGATGCACGCGCGAAGTAGGAAAGCCGTTTTTAAATATTTTTCCCTTTTCGATAAACGGCGTTTCTCTCAACCGAGTCTCTTCTTTCTCTAAACCGTGCTTCGATAAAACGAGCCCGTTCTCTAAAACGTGCTTCGATGAAATGGCATTCGATCAACTGTAGTAAACCCGTTCGGAGGAGCCTACAGTACGTTCCCATTATATGTTGCGCGCTCCGCGCGTAGCCTTTCGGGATTTTCGCTACAGGTTTATTTCGGAGTCATGCGGTTTAGAGAAGCTCGTTTTAGCGAACGCCGTTTTACCGACCCTTGTTTATCGAAATTCCTTTATAGAAAAAGCCCAGTTTAGAGAAAATGGCGATGAGCCTCCTTTTAGCAAATTTGACCGCCGCGAAGCGGCGTGTGCGGATAAGTCAGGTGAGTTAACATTTTTGTAATCAGTCGCCGCAGACTGTCGCCGCGAAGCGGCGGGAGCGCAGCAGGGGGCTTGGGTTAACACGCGCTCCAGTGATACACGCGCGAAGTAGAAAACCCTTTTATAAATAGCGTCCCCTTTTCGATAAACGGCATTTCTCTAAACTGAGGCTCTGCTTTCTCTAACTGTGCTTCGATAAAACGTGCCCGTTCTCTAAAACGTGCTTCGACGAAATGGCATTCTATCAGCCGTAGTAAACCCGTTTATTTGGACAGCTTCGGTTCAGGTGCGTACAGCGAATGTGTGAGTTGGAGAGCTGTCCTGTACGGTGCAACTTGTTTTTGTCCAATTGCCATATGCGCTTCGCTACATGCCCGGAAATGTAGTACTTTTGACTGCGTCTACCAGAACACAGCCAGCACGCTGCGAGGGCTTCGGACGCGGATTCGTTTCGTGTGGTGCCCCGTGCCGCCTTCTCTCGGAAAGGCGTCGAGCGCCAGATGCTTTTGTTTTGCGGCCTCGGCCGCCCGCTGATTGCACACGGCACCTTCCCACGTGTCTCGGGTGGCGAGCGAGCGTTAATTTATCTCAAAGTCGACCGTCGTTAAAGAAGTGCACGCCAACAGCCCTCGGTCGGCCCACGATCGGGCGACCGATTTCGCCGCTTCATCGCCGCCTTTTGGCGTTTCCTCATGCATGGGCCGCGCGCTCGCGACCGTCGTCCGCTTTAATTTAGACGCCGCAACGCGGTTCGAGGACTTTTCCAAACTGGACTGCTTCGGCCATGGTGAGCTTGAACCCGCTTGTTTTTTCGCTTCATCACTCAGTGAGAGAAGACTCGGGAAATCTCTCGATGAGTCGCTGGTATAGTGTTGATCTAATTCCGTCAATCTTAGTAGTGCCATTTAGGCGGTTCAGAATCTTCGCGGCTGTCCTTTGTAGCTGTCTACGGCGCGTCCGACATTCGCCATAAAGAACGTATTTCTTCTGCTACCAGTATTGGCTCTTTGTTCGCTCAGGTACTCGGGTACGAAAGAAGGAAGAAGAAATACAGCGTGTCCTCCCAAATTTTTTAAAATAAATTACGATTTTTGTTTTAATATGAAAATAAAATATGCATTGCTGAACGCTCAGTCTGAGCCTAAATGTAGCGCCAGCGGTTCGGGCCAGATGCCAAAGTTTCAGCACTAACCGTTATATATATCCAAGAGTCACACAGTGCAAATTGGTTATAACTTATAAGAGACCTTGATAGGGGCCCAAGATTTTAGTCTGCTGTAAAAGCAGTATGCTGTATGCAGGTACGAAGTTGACCCAATGATACAGATAGGAAAACTAACCGAACTTCAGAAAGCGGTTTATATTCAAATGTCTGTTGTAACCAGGTCTGTTGTAACGAGCTTATACTATAGTTGTTTTTGTAAAGTTTCAATGTGTTCCCGGTCCCGGTCATTCATCTGCATGCATTCGCGGGCTTAGTCGGCCGCCTTTGCCCCACTTTTGAGTTTGTCTATTGTTTAATTCGCAACGGCGGTTTGACATGTGCTGCGAACTTCGTCTCTTATGGGAGCCTTTGGATGGGTTGTGCGGCTTCCGGAATAAACAGACAGTCCTCCTCCTCCGGCCTTTGTGTGGGTGCAGATCATCTCGTCTGTGCCGCCCATCCCGTGGGAGTCGGATGAAGATCTAGTTTTCTGGCGGCGCCAACTGCCTCGTGTCGGCGGCTCACGGCTTTGTTTCGTGGTTGTTCATGCTAATCTGTAAGCTCGCAATTTGGACGATTTCCCACGTCACAGCATTCATACGTTGCATGCCAGATCAGTTTCTCTGACCAAATAAAGGTGGCAATCGAAGAACGAGGCAGAGCAGCGGGCGCCATGAGCCATCAGAGCCAATCCAATGCCGCGTGGGTGCCACGTCGGAGGCATGCGGTTTAGAGAAGCTCGTTTTAGCGAACGCCGTTTTACCGACCCCGGTTTATCCAATCCCTTTATAGAGAACCCGGTTTAGAGAAAATGGCGATGAGCCTCCTTTTAGCGAATTCGGCCGCCGCGAAGCGGCGCGTACGGGTAAATCAGGTAGGTTAACATTTTTGTAATGAGCCGCCGCTGACTGCCTCCGCGAAGCGGCGGGAGCGCAGCGGGGGGCATGGCTTAACACGCGCACCAGTGATACACGCGAGAAGTAGGAAAGCCTTTTTTTAAAAAGTGTCCCCTTTTCAATAAACGGCGTTTCTCTAAACCGTGCTTCGATAAAACGGGCCCATTCTCTAAAACGTGCTTCGATGAAATGGCATTCGATCAACCGTAATAAAGCCGTGTCACGTGACTCTCGGGAGGGGCGCAGCAACGCGTCCGCGGCGCTAGATTGCACGTAGCGTCCACTGCATTCCATCGAAGGTGAAACGGACACTAGAACGTTTGGCATGCGATCACGTGGTCAATTCTAGGTCACTTGGCCAACACGTCGATCTGACCTGCGGCGTTCTTGAGGAGCTAAGGGCCTGGGTCACGGGGTCACGGGGTCACCTTTGGAATGCATGGTCAGCACATTTGGTTCAGAGCAGCGGCGTCGCGAGGGTCAGCGGCACCCGGGGATATAGCCCGCCGCGGCTCCCCCCCCCCCCCCCCCCCCCCCCCCTTGTGACGCCACGGGTTCAGAGTATATCCTTCAAGGTAAGAAAAGCATGACGGCTGGTTCACACAATTGCAACAGTTGTGTTGCAATTGTGTGAGAATTGAGAATAATGCAGGGACCTGCAGACGCAAAAACACGTGGTGTTGCCTGCTTAATGATATTCACTCGTTGGTATTGTGTAGTGTTGATGATGGAATGATTACTTAGTAACTTGTAGTGTTTTGAACTCACCATCTTTAATATGAGTTTTATTCTGATTGCTGAAAATATTCTGAAGGAGCAGAGAGTCAGACTTTCACCATGACTTTCGTTTTGTCTTTGCAGGCGGAGGTTGGCAAGGCTGTTGAAGACCTGCTGGCATCCGAGTCAGCCGGAAGTGCATCATCCTCTTGTGAAAGCCACAACAACTCCTGCCCTGAACTCTACGGCTGCGAAGCGGACCACGAGGACAACGCTCCAGATGCATATGCGTCCCTCAGCGTTCCACGAGCGAAAAGGAACACCAATGGCATCGTCGCTCGCAAGACCGACTCTCCAGAACAAGACAATTTATGGCACGGTACTGGTCCCACGACCGACCAGAAGACAAAGGATGATTGCACTTGGGACGCATACTACGGCTGGAAGTCTCTGCAGCTGTCCCGTCCCCCCAGCGGTGACGCTCACCTCCTTTCCATCTACACAGAGCGGTTGGTTGAAGCAGTCAACGATTCCTTCGGTCTGCACCTGCAAGAACCGTCCTCTAAAAATGCCAGGGACCAATTGGATTTCAAGGTTAAGCCAACGAGTGAAACTGGACTGGTGGCAAGCAGCTCTGAGAACGTTCCGGAGAGCCCACCGGCTCCACCGAATTCGCAGAAGAATGGTAGTTCGACACCAGATTCAAGTTTAACGACCATTCACGGTGCTCTCACCTTCGAACGAGATGTCAGACGAGCTGAACGAGCGGATTCTGAGAAGAGCGAACGGTGTGTGCGTGATGTTGATGCCGATGCAGCGAATGTGAAGGAGCTAATCGACAGATGTTCTTCATGGCCTAGTCTTCGGTCGTTTCAAGACGCTTCGGTTGGAGTGCAGCTTCCAAATCGTTCGGGCAGCTACCCGGGACTGTCAAAGACGGTCAATCCGTTTTGTGATACGGAAGATTTGGTGGGTAGTGACCAGGTGCTCAGCTATGACGGCTCTCTGTACAAGAACCAGCAGCTCTACTACGAACCAGAGGATCTCCCCGATTGTGCAGGGGCACCAGCTGTGAGCGTGACTGAAAGTAAGGACGTGTTTTCTGCTTTGAGCTCACGTGTTCCTTTGTCCCTTGCTTTTTTGGCATTTCATAGCTTTGCAATACGAAGCGCACAAAGAGAATCAAATAAAAAAAAATAAAAGGCGTTTACAATTCTTTGTAATGCCGAATTAGAGTGCAGCTATTGAGGAGGAGGAGGAAAGGGTCACATGTGACGTCATGCGGGTAAAATTAGTCCGGTAAATTTAGTGGGGAAATTTGAGCGCTAAGTTTAGCGGGAAACTTTCTCCACCAAATTTTAAGGGGAAACTTTCCCCACTAAATTTAGCGGAAGCATTTCTCCGATATATTTACCGGGAAAATTTTCCCGCTAAATTTAACAAAAAAATGATCTCGCTACATTTAACGGAAAAATTTTCCCGGTTTGAGTGACGTCACGTGGGACGTACGAGTGTAAAATTTCCTTCTAAATTTAGCGGGAAAATTTGCCTGCTAAGTTTAGCAGAAAAATTTCCCGCCAAATTCAGTAGGAAAATTTTGCTCTCGTGGCGTCACACGTGACGTCACATTTGACGTACGAGGGTAAAATTTCCCTTTAAACTTAGCAGGAAAACTTCCCCGCTAGATTTAGTGGGAAAATTTTCCCACTAAATGGACAATTTCCTCACTAAATTTAGCAGAAAAATTTCCCGCCAAATTCAGCAGGAAATTTCTGCTCTCGTGGCGTCATATGTGACGTCACGATAGGAAACGTCCCATGACGCAACGCACGGTTACGCCGACGGCGTCGTCGCTCAAGCTGGAAATGGGCGCCTAAGGGCTGTGCTCTAAAATTATATCAGTTCAGCAACTTTTGCAAATAGTGTATGCTTTATATGTAATCGGTAAAATTTTGTTGTATTTAGTAACCTAGGCGGCACAGATGGCTATGCATATTCATAGGACATCGGTGGAACATTAAAACATACTGAGGATGTTTGCAGAGCAATGCTTGTCGCCCCGAAAAATGATGGTGAACCTGTGCCGTGGAGCTTTTGTTGTCCGCAGAAGAATTTGTCCCTAAGCCATGCACTGTAACATGACCGTAAAATACCAAGCAAGTGCTCAACCAGAATTTGAAAATGATATGAAAACCTGTCGGATAGGCGCTTGTTAGGTCTGAAACCACGAGTGCAGAAAAGGCACGTGATGGAGTGGGCTTCACTGCTTTGCGCCACTAAATCACCTCTTTTTAGAACGACTTGAAGCTCGTGGGAAACTGAGGGGCGGGTGAATGTTGCCACTTGTGAAGCAGGCGCAATGCCAGCAGTGGCAGAACGCGGATGATTAGATCATTATCACATTCGGCAACTGCTAGCTTTGCGCCTGCTTTGCCAGTGGTAACTTTGGCGCGCCTCCGAGTTTCCCACGAGCTTCAAGTCGTCCTAAAAGGGTTGATTTAGTGGTTTTCGATGACGCTGTCTAAGTTTCTAATTGGAACCATATGTTTATTTTCTCAAATTAAAAAGTTAATGAATTTTAATTAATTAGCCGACTTATCACAAAAGATTAGTCACGCACATAATGTCCCCCTGGCCGAATAACTCACCTGCACAAACCGCATGAGTGCATCTTTTACGAATTTTTTGTAATAAATCTGTTCGAATGAAACAAAATCACCTGGTATACTATAAAGGCTCGTTCACACACTTGCAATTGAGTACGACCATCTGATGCAAGACCGGTTTTTAAGCCTCTTGCGAAGTCTTGGGACCCGATGCGGTGCTGCGGAGCTGGTCCGAAGACGTCGCAAGAGGCCTGAAAACTGGCTTTGTCTCTCTCCGTCCTACTTGGTTGCAAGTGAGTGAATGGCGCTTAACAGTATAGCTATAAAGCTTTTGCTACTTTGTTTTACCCAAACTTGGAAAAGAGCGAACGCTACGGTCTCTTCGAGCTATTCAGCGCATCCGAAGAAGGCATGTGATTCTACTTCATCACATGCCTTCTTCCTCTCACAAGTGGCTGCAGCAAAAGACAAAGGCATAGGTGTGTGAGACTAGCTCAACAGTATGCTTTTTTTTTGTATGAGGGCTTGTTCATAAAAGGCACTTCCTAATACCACGCGCTCGTGCCTATGCCTTTGTCTTCACTGCAGATGTGTTTAAAGTAGAGTATTGTATGGGCAGTGCTGTCAAAGTCATGGGCTGCAAAGAGAGAAAAGGTGCTTTTGTATGAATTTTTGAGTGACGGGCTTGTCTTCTAGGGGCAGGATAGCGACGTCTGGGACACACAAGAGAGTGTCGGAGTAAAAAGGAAATTCCTCCTTCCCCTCTTTTTCAACTGCTTGGGTTGCTCTCTTGCCCATGCATCCTTCCTAAGGGCAGCCAGGTGCTTCGCTTCTGTTGCTCTGATTGATACAAATGATGGTAATCCGTCTTCATCATCACGACAGCAATCTTTGAGAAATGGGGGAACCGTTCCCAACCAACTTTTTTATTTTCTCTTATTTTGCTGAGTTTCACCTCGTGTTTTATTGTCCCTCTACCTCGAAGGTGTTACTGACAAAGAAAAAGGACAGGACTTCACCGACATCGAGCTGCGTATCGTCGATCCCGACGAGGCATTCGACGACCTCCCGGAGCTCTTCATCCGGGAAGATGACCGGGACAACGACAGCCACGCTGTGCCGCCGATCCAAGACGTCTCGCTCAGCCTGAACTCCCCCACTTTGGGCCGAGCGCAGGGTCGGCTGAACCCGTACACCATCAAAGTGATCGCCAACCACGCCTCGACACCGGACGAAGTCTTCGCGACGGTCTGCACTCTGGAAGCGAAGCTGGCATCGCGTCTCCCGCCCCACGAGATTGACGAGGGTGACCCGGACACAGGGACGTGGTCTTCGACTTCTACGGGGCATTCTACCTCAACCCTTGTGAGTCCCTGCTGTTTGTTTTGGGCCTGTCTTGACGTTGTGCACTGGTTCCAGATCTGCTGAAGCACAGCTTGGCACAGTCTCAAACCAGTTGAAGAAAATAATATGTAGCATGCAAGACAGAAACACCAAAGTACAGAGAGTTTCTGAGAAACAAGAAACCTGTTTTTTGGCCCGGGTAAATAAACTATACATTGCAGAGAGCTCAAATTCCGTAAGATTGTGACACTGGCAGTTGGAATAGAATGCGAAAATTTGAGAACATGACGTTACCTTGCTTAAAAGGTAATTGAGGAAAACAAAATTTCTCTATGAGCCGACGTCCACCTAAGCCTAATGTCGTCAAAACAACAAGCGAGATTGTGGTAACTTAACTAACAAGCAGAATTTGATATACAAGGTTGGCAAAGGGTAATCTCTACTTTCCAATGTAAGCTTGTGTAACATACAGAGATGTGACTATGCGGCTTTGTCAAGCACATTCTGTAGATATTGCTACAATTTCTGTCCATTTTTTTGTAGTCGACTCGGCAATCCTAGTGATACTAGACCCCATGCAAAGCGGACATGAGGTAAATGTTTTCGGGAAAAGGAATCGACAACCCATTTGCCACGCCAATAAATGGGGAGCGGCTGTATTTAGAGAACAAGCTGGCAGTTTTCGTGCAATAATCGCTTCTTGTTTTTTCCACCAGAGTCGCCACGATTTGGAGAAGTTTCTGAAAAACGTTGAACCTCCTCACGAGCCCCCGAGCTGGCCTCAGGATGCAGTGACCCAGACGACACCCGTCATTTCACGCAGGTGAAGATGCTTTATTATTTTATGAATTAATAGTGTTTACCCAAATTCAGGTTGTTACAGGACATTACAAAATCATACAAAGCACTGGCATGTAATAAGATACCTTTGTAAAAAAAATACAAACAAAACTTGATAGTACAAAAAAAAAAAAGGGGGCAGCCAAACAACTCAAACTAACAACAACAAAAGGTTGTGGGATGACTCGTTTTAATTATGCACTAGGCTTGCCTTTTAGTGTATGTTTCACTGCAATATTGCGTTTCATTGCATGCAGTGTGATCTAGCAGTCACTGCTCACATGACATCTCCGGGGTTGCTCGGAAAGCTGATAACATTTGCTGTGCACCGCTTTAGGGTGAGGCAGGTTGTTGTCATTTAACGTTTTCGCAGAAGGGGATTACTACAGCCATTACGAAGACAAAAATTTGCAACTGCATTTGTGTTTACCGATAAAACAGTCATAACAGAATTGAATTTTATGAGAAATGCAGCCAACACTCGTGTTCGACCTCGGCCTTCCTGGCGTGCGCCGCTGCGTCTTTTCGTAGCGTCGTCTCATCATCTCCTTCTAGCTCTTCTTTTTTGCGGTGACAAGGTGGATGCACAGACCGAGAGGGTGCAGCGTCAAGTGTAGTAATTCATTGCATGTTGACTTGCACATTGTGCGTGTCAACACTTGGGTGGGCTGGTGGTTAGCGAGACACACAAAGAACGGGGTGTGCAAATCGGGAAACAGAAACTCTACCCTCTCCACTCTACCGTGCCACGCATGCACATGAAGTGCTCATAAAGTCCAAGTTAGCTTCTTCTATAATGCAGTTTAGGAGTAATAGGGGAGGGATCGACGGCCTAGCATGTTAGTGCACCGCCGCTCAGAGCACATGGAGCGGACGCGTGTGCTCCGCAGATGCCAGGGATCCCGGGTTCAATCGATCCCCACCCCTGCCCGTTTTGATCTGGGTGAAGATCGTTCTGGCGTGCTGTCCCGTATAACTGCTGCGCATGTTAGATACCTCCAGGCTAGCGGGGGAACTGCACTGGATAAATTTATCTTCTACAATGACGAGATGTCTATTGGGGCTGACTGACTTCCTACTGTCTAACCATAAACACAATATCTTTTAGTATTAATAAGCATGGCAATGAATGTCGTGGGTTCTGAATTTGAGTGGCTGAACAATTCTATTGTGGGATTTGTGGTCGGTGAATATGCACGTTATCATGGTAAGTATAACCTTGTTACAAGAGACATTCGGTTATAACATACCAATCTGTGAAGTTTGGTTGGTCTTCCTATCTATGCCATTGAGCCAACTTTGCTATTACAGAGTTTGTTACAACATACATTCGGTTATGACGGACTCTATTAGGAGGTTTGTAAGTAGTTCACGATTTCATTATAGTGGACTATTCAACAGCAGTCATTTTTTTGTACATTACGCGGTTTTGGTTTGGTAGCAGTAACAACTATTTTGCCAACTGCTGTCATAGCGCTTGGCGCCTTGCAAGCCTTTTATGACCCAAAGCGCCCAGTGATGACAATCATTAGTACAAGAGATCAATCAAATATCACTACCATCTTTCAGAGTTCAGAACTTTCAATAAATCAGGTCTTTCCTAATTATCTATTCTCATTATTTCTTTTCTTAATTTGTTGTACTGGTCCTTGTTCAGGATCATTGTAGGAATGGTACATAAATGACACTACAGAAACAAATACATGGTCAAATTTCATCAACCCCACTGGTTAAAATGGGCACCAGTCATAACCCACGTCAAAGTCTGTAGTAAGAGGTATCTGCGTTCTGCACACTCCTTTTACAACGGACCATAATCTTCATCACTATCAAGGTTTGTTGTAATGAGTTTATACTACTAGGATTGCGTGGTCTGGAATCTTCTCAGCACACTATAGGAAAGATTTCTCTGTATAAAATTTAGGTACCAGAGAGGTGCTGCTATTGTTAGGTGTCAGCCAATCAGATTATCTTCGGAGAAGCTAATGGATGGACATGGGTTCAAACAAGCCACCTTAAAGAAAGTCGCTCGGTGTGTCTACTCTTTCGTGAAGTTAATGACTGCGCGCTCGTGGACCTGTTGAAGAGATGGGCATTTGGTGATGCCACCTACTCCTGAGACCTAGGGGCCTTAATATTTCGATATAATTGAGAAATGCCACGCAAAGGGTGCTACATCTCCTTTAAGAAAAAAATTATCAAGACTTTTCTAGAAATTCCTTTCTCTGCCAAACATCTAATTTTTTTAGTCTTTCTTTTTACTTTTGCGTGGATTATCGACGCTTTTATTGACAAAATTTACTATGATGGACACTGCCAAAATCCTCAGACCAGTAAGTAGTTTATTAAAGGACCGCGGTGTTATGTCGTCGCAGCTCCAGCTTCACCTGGGTGGCTGACTTGGGCGAAGACGTGGGGTCTTCAAAGGAGAGCCTGAGGATAGCAACGCAGACGACCACGACAAACACCACGACACCCAACTCCCCGTCGCCGGTGTCGTCTTCGTCGTCGTGCGAGGCTCCGCCGACGCCCCTGACACCCCGGACCTCCCCTAGCTCCCAGGAGGTGTCTTCGGATCAGTCCGAGGTCGTCAATCCGATCCGAAGCCGTAGCAGCAAGCTGCAGGACAGTGCCAGTCCCTCCATGCCAACTTTAACCAATGAGGACTGTGGCAAGTCAGAGTAAGTTTTTCACGTTTTACCAGCTTGGGGCCCTATGCTACACCGCGGGACCAAGCGGGACCAAGGCACCGGAACAACGCCGTCTGCTGCGATTGGTCAGCCTCACGGCGCTGACCAATCGCAGCACACGGCATTGTCCTGGTCCTTGGTTCCACTTAATCTCACTGTGTAGCATAGGGCCCCGTTTATTTTATCGGTTCTCTTATCGCGTCTCAGCATCATGAAGAGTACCATGGAAGAGCTATAAACATTTGTATCAGGCCTGAATTGTTCATCTCATTAACGAAAGGTTGCAGACTTTCTATTCAATTCACAGTACTGAACAGGTAGTTGCGAGCAATTTTTATGGAGGTTATTCCACTCTGATAAAACCGAGGGCTCTACACAAGAGCTCCGCTTTGTGGGATGTCATTGTATTGTGAGCTTAGAGTTGTCAAGCTCGCAGCACATCTGGCTAGCAGTTCCTTCACAGATATCAAAAGCAACCCACTGGCAGCTCGGCACCATTTCAGCCACTCCATTTATTGGCAAGCATGTTGGCCTCTGTCATTACTTGCTGTCCCCGTATAACGTAACGTGACTCCCAGAAAGGTGTTCTGTGACACATGTGTGCGAGGAGTTGTATAAATGTGGCCTAGTTTCAGTTAACCTTGTCATCGTTGATAAATTTTAATTTTCTTGTCTCGGATATTTTCTTGGAGCAGCCTGCTTGCAGTGACTAAGCAATGTCGACAAAATCCAACTTTTTCTTTCAGCAATTACAGGCAGCTATCACTGGACGAGAAGACTCAGGTGCAGTCCCTCTCGCGTTCGGCCATCAAGGGCCATGGAGGCAACTCTTCGGAGGCAGCATCGGCAGCTCTGTCGTGGGCAGCGAACCAGCAGCTGGGTCAGAAGGCCTCTTCTGCACCGGTCCTGCTGAAGAACAAGCCTCCCACTTCGTTCAGCGGTAGCTTTGGCAAAAAGAGGGCTCAGCTCTTCAATGCAACGGCTTCGGCTGGGAACACACCCGAAGAGGAAGCCAAGGTACGTGAGCACGTTGTCTTCTGGCCAAGACTGTCATTTGAGAACCTCAAATTTAAGCGCTGAATGCTTCCTTTTCTTGTTCTTGTTTTGTGGTGCTTGCTTAACATTAAAACAGTTTTACTAACACAACCTCACACTTTTTTCTCGTGGTGTTGGAATCATTCTAATTGTTACTACTATATTGTATGTTCTATGGACGGCCACATTTGTACTTGTTTTCACTGTACAAATCATACTTAAAGAAAGTTTGTCTTGTCGGGGAGGTTTACAAATTTCTCTTTTTACAAGGTGAGTTAGATATTTCTGTGTGCATCTAAAGTAAGTTATTTGTTATCTTATCAGAGCCTACCTGTTTGAAACGTCAAGGGTCATACAGCATACGAACTGTTCTAAGCTAGCTCTTTTCTTGAGGTTACAATAAGTATGCAAAAAGAATATGGACAGTCTAGATATACCCATCGACAATATTAGTCCTTACTAACTTTGACAAAGCAAACCTCTGGGACGCTTGCTCTTCTGCTTCATCAGGGCTCTACTGAGTTTAATACGCATCACATCATTCATCTTGCTATCTTTGTTACACCAAAGAATTTATAAGCGTTTGGAGAAAAAGATTGACTTTATGAATGATGATGGGTTGCTAATATTCATACAGTAAGACTTGCTGAATGTAGTGGACATATTACAGCTTGGTTCACACGTTCACAGTGCTGTCTGGCTTTGCGATAACCATTATGGTTTGTGTTGTGACATACGTTTGAGTTATATACGGCTTTGTTGTAGCAATTCATATTGTGACAAGTGACCGTACACAGATTTATTGGTTGCAAGACAAGAATCTTTTTTTTTTTTGCCGTTTTGTGCATTTTGATGATTCAGTGTAAGTTTGGTGAAATTAAATATACCACACCAGATACCAAGGGTTTCTTATTGCTGTCTCACGTAATAGAACATGACTCAGGATATGGTAAGTGTGTTAGTGCAGTGAGGGTTTATTGCATATACATATCTTAAGGATGCTTCAAATCTGCTGTCTTAAGGACCCTAAAGGGACACTGAAACGAAATCTCGAGCTCACAAAACAAGGCTGGACGGATATACGGGACGCTGCAAAAGCATCACTCACTCGTACAGCAATATCTCTAACGGATCGCCATATTTTTAGAAAAGAAGTGTGCGATTGAACACGGCTGATGGATCCTACGAGACAAGTCACGTAACGATTCTCATTTCTTCTCCTCCTCGCTACGTCCCGTCGAGCTGGTGAACCGAAGTGAGAAGGAGAGAAGTGAGGTTGGTTCCCCTTATTCTGAAATTTTCCAGGAGGACAATGACGTCGTAGCCCTCGCTTGATCACGCCCTTCTTTTCCAAAAGTATGGCCATCCGTTTGAGATATCGATGTGTGAGTGATGTTTTAGAGTTGATAACATCTCGCTCCATGCTTCTGTGGCCTTATTTTGCAAAATACAAATTTCGGTTCAGTGTCCTTTGAACTTAGCTCTCGCTGATGTGAGGTATAAATTTTCTCTCCTCTCATGGATTGCTTTTTGTTGTTCTTTGGAGGATGCTGTGGAACTTGGAAATTTATTCCTACATTCATTATGCATATCTGACCTTGATTAAGGTGTGGAATCTAATAGTATATATTGTATTCCCTTTTTCTTCCATAGACTGTTGTTCCAATGGTAATAAGAGATTCTCCTATTTCTAGCAGAGATTTTCAGCAGCTGTTTGTAGCAGCTATTTCCAACAGATAATTTTGCTAAGATGAAATACATATTATTTGATTTTCAAAATGTAAGGTTTATCTTCCCAACATCAGTTTAAACCCTTAGTAGGAATAGGAAAGAACTACTCTGGATGGGGGTTTCATCTCAATTCGTGTTATACTGTGCTGTTTACCTTCTTTTTTTTTTTCAATATGGCAAAGCTCAGAGCAGGAAGTCTGGCCCTGTGGTGAGTACTCGCGAAGACTGAGACCATGACTAACAAGTTTGATATTTTCTCGAGTGTTATGCATCATCAGAACACAAGTTCTTGGTGTTTCACGTATTATGTAGCAGTTTTAAAGAGTTCCTCGCCCCTTTTAACCCTTTGAAGACCATAGCACTGCATGTGCCATCAGCAGAATCGCTTGCGAGAGCTAAGCAGGCTTCATACAGATTGTGGATGCAGCTCCTATATTTGCCACATCATCTCAATAGTGTGCTTTAATGTGCAGCAGGGGGCACCTTGAAAAGTTGAGGTGTGATAAGAAAGGGAATGAACATGGATCAAGCATTTTTAGAGATCCTTTGTAAGCAGATATTAAAACATCCTAGTTTGGCTTTAGTTATTATTTAGTTTTAGAGGGAAAGTGGCCTTTTGCTCATCTGGCACTAGGCTCTTCTCGACATTTTTTATGTGGCGTATGGACACCATTTTGTAGGCTACTGACACTATGCACATGAGATGTTTGCTGCTGCAGTAAAAACATATGCAAGGATGTAGGAAATATGGTGCAAGTTCTCCAGATTACAAGATAGTGGCCTCTCTTGTCTGTGTATTTATTTCATTCTTTCTCATGTGATGCTCTGGAAGTTCTGGTTTTTCATCATTACATGAATGTGATGCTTGGAGGCATGGTGTGTTTACCTGGGTTTCACACATTTCAAAACAATAATTTTTATGTGGGACTGCCAACACTTTATTCCTAGTGCAGGGGTTCTCAGATATATATATTTCTTTATCTTGAAGTATTTTTATGCGGCTGGGCTGAAAGTTGAGCAACCCCTGCCAGCATGGACATGATCATGATAAAGAAATGCAGAAGCCTACAGACCCTGTAAACAATAAGACACACTCAAGGGAGTGTTTGGTACCTAGTTATACATAAGTGGGCTTCTCAGATATGCTAAAATATAGTGCTGAATGTGTAAAACAACTTAGGATCAAGGACGGTCAAGGAAATTAGAGAGCTTGGGGATCCTTGGGTTCCGAGGAACCGAGCTTGAGAACCCACATTCCATCACATAGGTTTGTGTGACAGCACTATTAATGCAAAAAGTAATGCGATTTCTCAAGAATAATTAAGCAGCCATCTTTAATTTTTACGCGAGTCAAAGGAAATATGATGTCATGATTTTGTCATTGGTGAATGGGCGGAATGTATGATTTTCGGAAGCAGCAGAGAGTCCAGAAATATGCGTAGATCCCTGTCCTTAAGTGCAAGTTGAACCCCACTTTTAGGTATTCTGTAAATCTAATTTCACTCTTTCCGTCTAACAGTATTCTTGACCGGCGATACAACATGGTTTGCAGGATACTTCGAAGATTCAAAAAGCACAAATCAATCCACATTTTTTTTTTCTTTTTGTAATCGCAGTAGATGTGTTTGAGCAGAGAATCCTTGTGCACACCACGAACGCTGGCATGAGCCTCTTGCTTGAAAGACTGATGGTCGCTCGTGAATCAATAGAACGCGAGCATGTGTTTCAGTATCAAAACCCTAATTTAAAAAAAAGGTGGATTATCATTGTTTGAAAAACGTTTGGCTTAGTGTTCTGAAGCCTTTTTTTTTGGGGAACCTTTTGAATCCAAACATTGACAATGTTCTCGATGCTGATTGGATGCGCAAATTGTTTAGATGCAATAAGGACTGTGTTTACAAGTTCACTGCGAGAGGAATGTTGGTCAATGCCTCCAAAGGAACGAAACACTTGCCCCCTTTTACTTTTTTTGCTACCATATCAATTTTGTTCATCGAATATGAAATTCGGGACTCGAAAATGGGTTTGGTGGCGGACCTTCTGAAATGCCTGTTGCTCACTGCAGTGCCATAGCGGCTAGAGGGAAGCTTCAAAATTGTGATATCAACGACCGACCAAGCAAAATGACAGCATACTTTCTGTTTCAAGGTGTGTTGGTTACGCTCATTGGGCTGATTTTTGGTAGCTGTACCACGTTTGCTTGGCGAAGCTTGATTGCTTGCATATATAGTCCTGAAATCCCCACTTTTGCAAAGACTTGAAGCAAGATTTCAGTCAACCCTCTGAACTTCCGCATCTGTATTGTCACACCATACAAAATGAATATACGTAGACATGTTCCTAAGATCGCCATGTCTGACATATGCGGCCATGGCTGATCATCATAACCATCGTAGCCTCCTCATCTGCTCATCTGAAGTTTTATATTGGCATATCCTAGTCTTACCTAGAGTGGTACTTCCAACTTACTTGAGGACAAGACTCAAGAACATAAACGTGGCGTTTGAGACTTCACCGGGTTTGTTGATCCTCGGAAATACCTTGATTACTGTTAAAGATAACCATTCTGGATGGCAGTGTTCACGGGGGTCGCCTTCAGTTCCAAGAACACTTCGGAGATTCAAAGCAGTCTTTGTATTAGTGTCTCCATGAAAACAATTAAGAAAACTTAGAAAAGCGCATGATGAGGACCGTACGTTTGTCTATACATTTATATAGTTTGATGTTTGAAACTGATTCATCGACGTCCCGTCACCATCACATTGCTAAATCCCTTGGCTCTTGTCACTGTAGCATCGATTAATAAATTACGCATTCGATGGACGCCGACGCACCACGGTAGACCATGTGGTCGTCTTGGGAAGAAGACACCGCTCCAGAACTATGGCTTCGTTCCCGTGCGAACGAAGCCACGGCTACAAGCGCGAGCATCTTGTCCTGAACAGTGCTTGCGCTGCACGAGTGTGTTTTGTTCTTGTCGCTTTGACTACAGTGGCACTTAAAGGAGCGGTGCAACGATATTCAATTGGAATGTTTTTCACTTGACACGACCTTACTGGCACTAGTGGGACTCAAGGATACTCACACGCAACGCCACTGGCCAAGAAACTCCTTTGGTGCGGTGTAATTTCAAGGACAAAAGCGATCATTTTCATTCAGTCTCTCCTTTGAAAAATTTGATGACGTAACGTGGGGATCGCAGTACACCCAAGTGACGATATTTGAACGCGGTTCATGGATTGGACCCGAGCATTGCGTGGGCACTCGACTTGGGCTCGTGATAATTGCCAGCTCGAGAAGCATTCGGGTAGTGACCCGTGTACAATCGCTGCAACGACGACAACAGCCGAGCCATAACAATGTCTGGAACTCAGCGCGTGTCCTGCGCTTTGCCAACCCCAGCGCGTGGCTATGATCAACACTGGCGGCATATAATCGGCTCCAGATCACGTGGCCGCTTGTTCTGGCTGCGAGTTGAGGGGGTGAACGCTGCTCGTTTTTCTTTAATTTTTTTCTGGGACTTCTATTGAGTGGGGTGAAAAACGAGCGCGTGTTTCATAGGTCGTTAACGTTAGGGATCCGTTTTAAGCGGTATTTGCGCAAATTACAAAAATTGTTGCATCGCTCCTTTAAAGCGAAACGGACTACTGTGGAAGATCGTCGCACCCAAGCAGCAAGTAGCAGGACGCGCAGGTATGGTTGGTCAGGTAACACTAAACTGTGCAGCTTTCAGAGGCATGTAACGTCCAGTACCTTTCGTGGGAGTGTTCAGGGTGCACGAAGAATTAAAAATATACATTTAAGGACTGCTTGACAAATGGGCGCGAGATGAGTGAGGTGAGTAAGAGATAACATGGAGCCAAGAACTAAAGTAATCAATATTACAAAGAAAAAGAAAAGCGTTTCATCGTGCCTCTAAGGATGGCAAAGATGTATGCTCTCACTGCCGATCAGCGTCGTCACGAGCCCACAGAGATTACTGTACGGCGAGCATGTGTTCTAAAGTGAGTCCCTGGGGCATCGAAGTGTAAGGAGGAGCACGCCAATCGGAGGGAAGCATACGGAACGCGCCCGGAACTCGCGATGACGATGCAGCCAAGCGTGCGCCGTCGTCGGTTCAGGCCGGGGGTAAACAAAAGCGCGTGCGCGGGTTTTGGGGGGTAAACA